ACCAACCATCTGTGTCTAGAATACACATCAGGCTTTGTTTGTTTGTTTGTTTGTGCACTATAGTACGAAGAGGACACTGCACAAAATGTGAATACACAGCTCGTTTATCAGGTTTGTAGTCATTTAAAGCTTACAATTTAGCAAAAATAAGCAAAATCACCTTCAAAATTGGGTTGATTTTGGACATTACTATCAGTATTGACAGACTATGAAAAAAAAAAATCATCGGTCAATCTGTAAAAGTGACAACAGTAACAGATGCAACAATACCGTCTCGTCACAGAACACTGATCGCAATTTGATTAAAATGTGCTTTGGGGCTCAGGAAAAAAAAAAAAAAACGAAAAACATCTAGACGTGTGTCATAAACGACAAACTTAAGATCTGACTAAGTGACAGTGGGATTGCCGTTAGGTTTGTGATGAGTCAAGTGTTTGAGTTCAGCTGGTTCGTTTACAGCTCTGAATTTTTCATCAGTGCAAAAAAGAATTATGCTTCCTGAGGGTGACAGTTTTTTTTTTTTTCATAATGTCCTTTTAACATAAGCAGCTGTAGGGGAATCTGTAATCAAACCTTTACATTTTGTGCATTTGAAGATTTTATTCTTTATTTAATCTGGTATAAAAAGTTAAAGATTAAACCAGAAAAGAGGAGAGTGTTCACCAGGATCTGAGAGACAAACAAGCAGCTGTGGATTGGATTTCTCCAAAAACGGGGCAGTAGATCGAGCTTTAAGATCCGGTCCCTCCAGGATTCTTACAAACATTTCTGATCAAATCATAGGCTGCGTTCAGACTGCAGCCTGAAGTGACCCAAATCTGATTTTTTGGCCCCTACGTGACCTGTATCTGATCTTTTAATGACAGTCTGAACGACACAGATCCGATTTTTTCAAATACGACCCAGGACACTTCAAAATGTGCTCCTGAAACCAATACATATCTGATCTTTTGACATGTGACTTCAGTGTGAACGGTCAAAGCGCATGAATCCGACCAACAAGACACAAACGTCACTATTCTGCGCTGAAGTAGGAGAGAATTGTTAATGAACTCCGTGTCACTGAAGTGAAGCACATCTCCACTCACCACTCTTGGCTCCGTCTCCACATCCACACGTTCCTTTCAACAGACTGAACCACAAAACACCACGACCAAAAACCTCGTCCTTCTCCTTCTCAATCTCCTCCTTAAAACAAGTAAGTTGTTCATGTTCTGGCTCCGGTACGAGAGGAACTTTAAAATCTCCAGGTGCTCAATGCTCGTGTCCATGTTTGGACAACTTCTGTAAACACAGAGACGCTCGCTGCGGTTGACGTCATCGTGTCTCCAGTGCACACGCGGGACACTTTCGGGCTGTTTAATGTTCACACTGGAGTCACATACAAGTCACATTTAATTGGAAATGTGAACGACCTCACAAAAACATCGGATTTCACAAAAAAAAATCGGAATTGAGCGTTAAGCCCTGCAGTCTGAACGTAGCCTTAGAGATAGTTCAAATATTGGATTATGTATTGGATATTAATTTAGGGTCATTCCACACCATTTCATCACATTTCCAGAAAATCTTACGCATCATGTTTTTTAAAACATTGTTTTAAATGACCAGCTGGTCCCTTACTCTCGTGTATCAACCCTGTGAAATTTTACTCATTTTTGATCAACACTTTTTAAGTTACAGCACATTTTATGAGGAGGGCATGTGTCAATTTACAGGCCCAATATACACGTCATTTTTTCTCAGCCATTTGTTCAAGATGCGAAATGCGAATGTTCAAGATACAGTTAAAAATTGAAGGAGCTTCATAAAATACATATGTTTGGTACCATAAGAAAGGGCTTTTTCTGGTCTTTCAAATAAAAAATATTAAAATTTTTTATCACTACCCACATGCAATAAATTACATGTGAAACTCGGATCATGTTGCATTTTCTTGTTTTTAACAGGACCCTCACACATAACCTATTTAAAATTTTCAACTTTTGGTGATTTCTCAAAAAAATTTAAGGGTCTCTGACACCTACAAGTAGGTTTAAAAAGGGGCTAAAAATGGTACGCCACAGAAATGAATGTGTTTTTTCATTTTTAAGTTCATATAAAATGACAATGAGTTGAGATACCAAACTTTCAATAGATGTTATCTGAACACAGAGTAGAGGAGCACAAGTCTACAAAAATTTCAGCCTGTGTGAGACATCGACCTGTGAAAACGGCCGAGAAAAAATTACGCTCATTTTGGGCCAGTAAACTGACAAATACTCCCCTCACTAAACGCGCCGTAGCTTAAAAAGTATTGATCGAAAATCACTAAAACTTCACACTCATGAACTTAATTGTAACGCAGACATATTTGTATCTCTGGAAACTTTAGACTCTGAACTCTTCATTTATGGATGTTTAAATGTGATTCAAGTCATTTACAGGTTTATAAAAGTTCACTGAAAAGGAGAGTTTACCTGCTCAGGTGCAAAGTCGAAAAACAAAAAACTACATTCAGCATTTGATATTTGCACATTCTGAGTACTATATTCATAAAAAAAAAAATGTAAAAAATATATTTTTCTAAGTATTTAAACAGATTTCATATCACCAGATACAGTAGAGCCAAGTGTGCACCTGTTTTTACCTGTTGTTCACCTGTGTGGACCTAATTTGTTTTTTCCATTTAACTTATTTAACTCATTTATCTTATTATAATATAATATAATAATAAAACTCTTCCCCGTCAGTGCGTGCCCAGTTTTTGTTATCTTGGTTACTTTCTCGTGCACAGAGCTGCACATACCGTATTTTCTGGGCTATTAGTCGCTCTGGATTATAAGACGCACTGTCATTAAATGGTCTATTTTCAAACTTTTTTCACAAATAAACCGAGTGGGACTTTAAAGGAAACACAACAGTGTGATGGGTGAGTGGTTTTGTTTGTTTGTTCGTTCACGGTGACTCTGGGCTTTGTTCAGTTGTGGCGTGTAGGGAGGGTGTGTCTGGGACCAACGGATTGTCGGCGTGTTCGCAGTGACTCAGTTGTTCAGTCGTGTCTAGAAGCGGCACATCGCGCTCGCTTTTTCAGTTCATTCCTCCGTTCCGTTCCTCGCCGGCGTGGAGTGATGAGCGTGTCTGCGGGTGTTTTTCGCTGTCTGCTCCGTGTGTGTTTGTGTGCGCTGCAGCTTTGTAGTTTACTGAAGTCGTGCTAGGACACCAGATTGGATTCGTGTATGGGGCACTCTGGATTGTGGCGCGCTGTCGTTTTTTGATGGGGTTAGAGGCTTAAGAGCGCGTCTAATAGCCCGGAAAATTCAGTAAGAGTTTGTTTCTGTAGCAATTCTGTCATACATAACATCTTGGAAAAAAAGACAAATATTTTAAAGGACTGGCCTGAGAAACATCCAGATTTCGGGGCAATTTTGGTCCATAATCGAGTATAAAATCCTCGATAGTTTGTTTGGATATCGCAGGACTCCACAGAGACACATCAGCGGCATTCTCACCTTCGTAAGTTTCACTCTCCAAAAGTCCGTCACTATCGCCGTTTTCCACTTTATAATCAACTTCATCATCACTTTGAAATCTATAAAAGTCACTTTCTCTAAACTTTTCCATAAAATATGCCCGCTCCTCATTATTTCTAAAACTGTGCGCCGCGATCTTTCCATTGCATGTGTTTTTTCCGGAAGCTACAATCGTTACTACTTCGATTAACTTCGGAAAAAAATCTGCGAAAACGTATCCTGGAATCCTATTGGTCAGTCTAGTGTGGGTTGTAGTGGCCCCGACCTATCGCCGCCTCTGTTTACATGTGAAAAACAGGAACAGTTTCTAACACGTCATTAAGGATACAAGGGGGGGGTTAGAGTTAAAAATCTACCTATTGCGATTTTGTCGGTTCAATAGTTCTAAAAATCAACTTAAAAATAGGTTTGTTGACTTCTGCGTTAGAAAACCGCGCTGCCAAATGGGAGCACGTCATCACAAAGACGTCTTGCAGCTGTCGGCTCCTCCGATGGATAGCTGCAGACCATTTTGCGCCAGAATGCGACGCTGCCAAATCCTACACACATCCACGATTAAGAAAATAAAAGTTAGTAGAGAGCAGTGGCGACGAAAACAGGAGTTGATCGACCATGTGCCGAATATATGTTGAAAAGAAGTGATTAAACCTTGCACGGATCACTCCAAATACAACTTCAGGTGAGTAAACAACTCTAACGCGGTTACAAGTTTCGAAATGCCAAATTTGCATAATAGCCCTGCTTTAAAAAACACATTATAATTGCACTGTTGGTGAATATAAACACCGTGTTTGTTCTGTTTCACCTCACGTAGGTTACGAGCTTTGGAAAAGTTCTTTGCTCACTCAGACGTTCGAACAAAACATTAATTAATCACGAACCATTGCCCACTGCAAACACACAATAAGAAAGACACACGTAAAGCCCAGTGGGGAGGTAAGGGCCCCTGTGTAACCTGAGTGGCCCCAGAGGGAGGGTTTGGTCCACGGGAAGCACCGCGGGACGAGAGGAAAGTACAGAGATGCCCGGGACAGTGAGTGGGGGGTGGGTCAGAGCTCTGCCCCCTTCCCCCGGGTTAAACATTACCCGTGGAACAAACTTTACTGCAACTTTTCTTAAGTGTGAGCGCGGTGTTTTCGAGTAGAGCTTCTGCAAAAAACCCCGTGGCACAATAAAAACGTAACGTGCGTGACATTTCCCAGCTCGAGACAGCGTGTCCTCAACATAATCGCGATTCATCACAATAGCTTTAGCCGCGCGCAGATGTGAGCGCGTGCAGAAGGTCGACACGCGGATCTCCTCGTGCACGAGTCACACAATAAACCCGGGGACATTTTCTGCTCGTACATCGTCTTTATGGAGAAATACGTGAGCGGTCGGGAGCGCAGCCCGCTGTGAATGAGCCGCCCCGCGCCTGCACCATGAGGGCAACATGGCTGGCGCGCTTCCCCTCCGCAGCTACGGCTAACTAGCTCCAGCGGTGCTTACCTTCGCGCTAGGCCCAAACAAAAGCGTTCCACCACCGCGTCCACACGAGGCTCGAGCTACGGTCTAGGGATCCGCCTGCAGCGCAAGGACAGCCGGGAGCAGAGGGGACACTCGGCGCCGACTTTGTCCGGGAAGCGTGTCTCGGAGCCGGATTGCACAACGGCGGAGCGGGGCGTCGCTAACAAATAGAAACAGCAGCGGAGCCGATGGCGCCAGTTCTGCCCGCCAACACACACAGCGGACGTGACGTCAGGAGGAGAGGCCTGTGGGGCATTGTGGGAAACTGAGTCTTGAGATGAATTGGTTTTAAACTAGATTTAGATAAACTTTACAGATTACATACCCCAAAATGTAGTTTGTAACATAATCAGTGTTGGGGAGTAACAGATTACATGTATCAGAGTTACGTAATCAGAGTACAAATTATGAGTAACTGTATTCAGTTACAGTTACTGTTTCAGTGAGTGGTAATTGGATTACAGTTACTTTGTTGAAATAAATGGATTACACGGCGGGATTTTCCTGTTTTTACATTTTGGGCTAAATCCCTTTTTTTTTTTTTTTTTTTTTTCGTAATTCCACTCATTTCCGGACACTAAACCAGGACTAAAACCAGGTCTAAAACCAGGTCTAAAACCAGGTCTAAAACCAGGTCTAAACCAGGTCTAAACCAGGTCTAAAAACTAGGTCTAAACCAGGTCTAAAACCAGGTCTAAACCAGGTCTAAACCAGGTCTAAAACCAGGTCTAAAACCAGGTCTAAAACCAGGTCTAAACCAGGTCTAAAACCAGGTCTAAAACCAGGTCTAAACCAGGTCCAGGACTAAACCAGGACTAAAACCAGGTCTAAAACCAGGTCTAAAACCAGGACTAAACCAGGATTTAACAGAACTAAATCCTGCTGTGTGGAAGTGTCTCCTCTTCTTCTATCAATAATATTTTTAATTTGGTTCAGTAAAGTCTGGACTTTTTATTTTCTTTTAACAGACAAAACTTCTTATGTGAAAATTTCCTCAAATCAAGTAATCCAAAGTATTCAGATTACATTACTCACTTTAAGTAATTTAATGGATTACGTTACAAACTACATTTTGGGGGATGTAATCTGTAATCTGTAGGGGATTACATTTTAAAAGTCACCTTCCCAACACTGAACACAAGGGCAATTATTTGGACACAGTAGGTCATCACAATATAATGTAATAACAAAAAGCGAAAATAATAATCGTAATAATGTAGTCGTGAGTAATGTATGAAGCTAAAAATAAGCACTTCCAAAAAAATATCCAACTACTTTTTTGTGAAAGGGAAGGAAACTATAACTTAAGAGGCTTTTTTTTATTTTAAAGTGCCTCGTGCTCGAACGACAAGGAAGAGTTTTTGTGTCTCTGTTTGTGGTGTAAAATTATGGAACAACATGAAAATAGAACAAAAAATTTTGTCCAAATATACATGTGTTCAAAAGTGCAGTTAAAAAAGGGATTATTTCAAAATACTGTGCTGAAGAAATTAGTGCTTAATGTATATGTGTGTGTGTGTGTATACAGACACACATATATATTATATTTATATTTATGGATTTTGTTTTAGGAAACCCTTAAACCAGTAGAATCCAGTCATTGTTGGCGAGATCTTTCTCAGCTTCAGGAGGCAGAAAGACCTTCCTCCCAACAACAGCAGCAAGTCTGGATCCACAGAACAACTCCTTTCACTCGCCTTTGCAGAGTCCATCTGGGGACAGGTTTTGGACAGAGGGCATCATTTTGGGATGACTTCCAGACTCTAGCTCTTGTTGGTACTGGTTTATAGCAGCCTTCATTCTGTCTTCACTCCATTTGTTGAACTGTTTCCTCTTCCTTGCTTTTGGATGCTCTTCCTGACATTGATTAGCCAGGGTGGTGCCCTCTAGTGCCTCCACTTAATTTCATTTCTCTCCAGCAACTAGGTCAGGAATCAGAATACACTAGACCAGGGGTGCTCAATATGTTGATCACGATCTACCAGTCGATCGCCAAGGTCGTGTGAGTAGATCGCCATGTCTCGTCTCGGACTCGCGTTTGGACTCGGTCTTGTCTCTCACTGGAGGTCTGACACTCAACAAGTGTGATCATATTTCATTCCGGCCGCTGCTGTTGGTAATAAACTTGTAGCGGGTGCAGGAGCGTGTGGGGCGTCTCAGTGCAGCCTGTGCGCTCATTTGAAACCCGCGGAGACTCTACGGCGCATCACAAACACACACGCTCCCTATGCACGGCTCGTCTGCGACAGCGTGTGCCCTCGTGTACCAGCGTGCATCACAGGGCAGGTTCAACTTCCTAAACATCCTACCTGTCCATCTGCCTCACGTCAGCACGCCGCCCCTCGCCTTTTCACGCTCTCGCTCCTTCCTGCGTACAGCGAACACAAGCCCCTCCCACAGTGCGGCTGATTAGAAGAGCAAGACCAAACGTGAAGCAAAAACTAGTCAAAATTTGTGTTCCAGTGTTGGCACAAAGCAGGTCTACAGCATAGAGCGGATCTACAGAACAGACCTACTGCCACATTTGGCTGAAGTTTGTCTAACAAAAGTGCACAAATGCATCTGTGTTTGTCACGATGTGAGTTTGGTTTGGTAAACGTGCAGAGGCTGGTAAATATCACTGCAAAACCAGAAAAGAATGTAACTCCAGTTTGGAACTTTAAAAAACAGGTTTAAAAATCTTCATTTTTTTCACAGTTTTGTGTAAAGTGCCAGAGGAAGTTCTCTTAAAGAAGAGGTTCTCAAACTGTGGGTGAGGGTCCAAAAAAGAGACGAGTGTTTCAGTGCAGTTTGCTTGGCTTTGTATTAGGTAGATCATTATGACTTGGTCATTTTGTAAGTAGCTCACATGTTGAAAAAGTGTGAACACCCCTGACCTAGACAGTTTGCAAGAACCTCGGAAGTTGTAGACCGCGCATCGACCAATCAGCTGTGAGCCGTGAAGCCATAACGTCAAACTCGTCGCATCTGTCTGTGTCCCTTTTGTGTTTCAGCACAACAGTAAACAAAGCGTCGAGATGGATGTAGACGAAGACAGACATTCTGTGTTGGCAACGATTCCCGAGATCAAAGATTTAAAGAGAATGTTTGGTGAATTTTATCAAGGGGAAAGACGTTATTGTTCTTCTTCCTACAGGATTTGGTGCATTACAAACGTCACGACCAAACAGCAGCGATTGGTTAAATAAAAAAAGTACCCGCCTACTGTCGAGCGAACGAATCCTAATGCTGCGAGGTCAGACGGTTTCCACAAAGTGAAACTGTCTGGCACTGATCAGTTTCACATTCAGTCTCTTGAGTCGCCTCTATTACATCAGCCATTTGTATCACATGAGCCACGTCCCTTTTCTCCTGCGACTCTATTTCTCCCTCTACTCCTTCAGCCGCTCTACCGTCTCTCCTTCCTTCTTCTTCTTCTTCTTCTTCTTCTTCTTCTTCTTCTGTTTCTTGGGCTTTTCTCTGACATTTGCAGCTGTTTGGAGGAGCTCAGAATGAAAGTCTGTCCCACTATTGAGATGAAAATAGGTGACCCATATTTTGCAAAAACGGTGGGCAAAGTGGGACACTGAAAAAGAAAAAAAAAAAAAAAAACAGAGAGAGATAATGAACATCTAAACTACATGTACAAAAGAGAAAATAAACAGCAAATTGTCCAGACACTCTGTTCTTGTTAACAGAGAACAGAGGGGAGAACGCGTATGATCCGTGTACTATTCGTTCTTTTTAATAAAATAGGAAAACAGTTTGTTGTTTCATTTCTCTGTTTTAGTGTCAAACAGAAAAAACAGATTTCAACCTCAATTTCCAATATTTAATTTATAGTTTATTTCAAATAACGTGTCTCGGTGCCTGTTTTAATTTTGATATTTTATTCTCTCTCATTTCTAGGCGAGCTTCAGCTGACGTCATTGTTATTAAAAGCCCGCGTTGCTGCTGGGAAATATTTTGGTCGGAGGCAAGAAACACGGTAGCGTCAAACACAGTGCGTAACCTTGCGTATTTCTCCCCGATAATGGTCAATTCCTGCTGCATTATCAGATGCACAAATAGAAGCACGGAAGAAGTTTTAGTCTTTGTTTAGTTTAATTGATCACATTCACACAGTTACTTTAAATTCGTTTTATTTGGTTATATCTAGTGATGTTACGAGATGTGCCGAGGCTTCGAAGCCTGTGTCGAGTCATGAAGGGGGTGTTTCTGCGACGCGTTTATCGAGGCTTGTTTCATTTGGAGGAGGAGCCAAAAATAATGACATCCGAAGCCTCGCTGCCCGGTTGTACCACGTGACTGCTTCAGGAAGTGGTTCGCGGATTTGGCGCGATTCGAAACAGCGGCAAGTGAAACGCAACGGATTCCACCAAAACATTTTGTGGTTTTGGGTTATTGCGAATTTGGTACATTCTATTTGAGATTCTTTTTTTTTTTTTTAAAGCAGGGGAAATTCTACATAAAAAAAGAAACCGTCTGAGTCCAAATACTGTGGAGAAATTGATATTTTAAAATAAAAATGAATTTAAAAAATCAAAAGAAACAGAAAACGCACACCAAGATTCCTGCAGAGGTGCAAATGCAAGGCGTAGCCAGATCAGGGTGAAAAAATGCATATCACACTTGGTCAGTGTTGGGAGTAACACGTTATAAAAGTAACGAATTACAGTAATGCATTACTTTTTGCTGTAACGCAGTAATGTAAGGCATTACAGGGGAAAAAATAGTAATATTTTACTCGGTATAAATGTGAGTAACGCGCGTTACAATGTTTTTTTAACCTGGATTGAAGTGGTGGGTTTTTCTTCATACAAATTCGCTAAAATCACCTCGATATCAGCAGCGGTGAAACGCCGGAGATGCGCCTCGTAGACCTTCAGGTAACCGCGGGCGAAAGGACTGACAAAGAACTCCACGCTGTTTAGACCTGGTTTAGACCTGGGTCAGTTTTGGTTTAGACCTGGTTTAGACCTGGGTCAGTTTTGGTTTAGACCTGGTTTAGACCTGGTTTACACTCGTCTCTCCCTCTATCGCAGTTCACTTTTCGCGGTCTCGCTGTTATTTTTTTTTTTTTTTGTGCAATTTTGCATGCCCTTTTTTTTTTTTACATTGTATGAATGCGTATTGCGTTCCTCCCACTGCGTCCTGACTGGCCAAGGGACTCCTGTCTCCTGTACAGTACAGGATGTGTTCAACTGCCAAATTGAAATACATGTTC